CGTGTATGTATCTGTATGTGTTATATGGTGTGTATCCGCATGTATGCCAGTGTGTATTTGTATAAATGAGACACATTGAGGTCCATGAGTATGACACATGGAGGGGGCGAGGGGAGTGAAACGTATGGGGGGGGGACCCAGGGATTTTTTTGCACCAGGGCCCGTGGTTTCAAGTTATGCCTCTGGGTGCACCCCAGATTAAAACTGTAATTTAGTGTGCATTGTCAGGAAATCAGACTACTTTACTAGTTCTCCGATATGATCTCTCATCTATTTGAAATTCTCAATGAAAGTACTATGATTCTGTTGTATTATTTTTCTCACATACAGTTTGGTTTGGTCACTATTACTGAATTTTTCAACATTGCAGAACCTATATTACTAGACATTTAGTAGGTTGCAAACATTGCCATAGAATGTAAGATACAGGCAAGCAAATAATAATAACTAAGTATTTAACCAGGAAAGGTACATTCAGATTACTCTGGTTTCCAAGTAGGTCCTGGGGATGTTACTAATACCCAATTTATTGGTACTCATTTTATCTGTGATTTGAACCTGCGACCCCTAAGAGTCAGATTCTGCTGCAGTTGCATTACCCCACCGAGTTATCTCACCAGCAAAGGGTGGCAATCAGTGCAAAAATGTCAACATTAACAAATGTCAGGTTATGCATATAGCAATGAATGCTATTTTTGAACGCTGACAAAGAAGCACATCATTTAACAGCTAATATATATATATATATATATATAAAATGGCATTAAATAAGCATTTTAAATATCAATATTTAAGATTTTCACATGTCTGCAGCAGATGTTATATGTTTTATATTTACATTTCTATTGAAGAGTTTCTGGGATATAGAATTATGTAGAATACAGAGTTATGCAGTGTCTACGTAGCTAATATGTTTGCCACAGATGGGATATGTTAATAACTAGAAGCTAATGCCCTGAAAAAGCAGTACTTATACCATTCTTGTATCAAACTAGATAAGGTAAATGCATGTGTCTGCAACTGTAAATCAGCTGTTTCTGTTGTGTAAAGCACAGGCTGTTTGAAAGTTTGATATTTCACATGTGCATAATTGAGATGTTGCTTAGTCATTATATACACACTTTCCATAAATGCAATAAACCGTGCCAAATAATAAACTAAACAACTGTTATTGTAGTCTGATGAAATATATTTTAATTCACATAAAAACAATTATGATCAGCGCATAGTTGTTAAAAAAAAACTACAGATTTCTGAGTGTTGGGGTAGCAGCTGCTGTAAGAAAGCCAAGTTTTCAGTATGTATATGCATGCTTTATAATGACTGTGCAAACTGCAAAAAGAATTATGACAAAAAATATATCAGTAAAATAATGTTTGGGTGTTGATGTTTCCTTGGTAACTTATAGAAATGTGGTCCATGTTTATATCTCCCATCAATGCTTCTTGCATTCTATGCAAAGAGAGAGCTCACACAAACTAGAATAAAATATAGTATATACTGCTTATTTTGAATTAATTACTTCAGCAGTGCCCTTGGGCAGACAGAAACAGAAAAGTAGTCTGGTTAATGTGAACTAAACATAGTACAACTATTTTTAACAAAAATATTTTAAATATTTTTGTATGAATAGAGTTTATAAAAATAATGTCCTGGCTTGTTTATCCTCCAATGTCATGTGTTCTCTGGTGCCCACTATATAGGTATGACTACCTGGAGCCTTAAAATCTTGAACACGTGGGTAACATGCAAAGTGGCTGAACACATGGGTAAGAAGTGTCTGGACACATGGGTAACATACAAGGAAGGTATATAAAACACAGTGTTTCAGCACATTTTGCAAGCATGGGGATGATTCCTCCCTCTAAGGATATATGGTTAGAGAGAGATGAAGATGGTTTTAAAGAATTGGGGAGAGTGGAGAGCAGGTGAATATCTGAAAAGAACACATTAGCCACACGTGATCTTAAATTGGATTTTGAGTTTATTAATTTTCTATGAACTCTTTATTTTTAATTATTCATAAAATGGTAAATGAAATGAGAAAATAAGAAGAAATATATTTTTTCCTCTTCTCTCTTGCCGAGGGTGACCAAATCCACCATGTTTACAGGGACACATACACATTTCCCATATGTATAAAAATGCATGAAAAGGTTTGCCCTGCGGTGTGTATAATGCATATTCTGCATTATTGCCTACTGCCTAATTGCTTAATTGCAGGATTCTTCATAGCCTAATTGCTTAATCTAATACACCTTCTTCTGAATTCTACATACTACACGGCTACCCTTTTCATATGCTGCTCATCAGTATGTATTTGTCATATGTGTCCAAGAAAACATGGTGGATCTGGTCAACCTGCCTGCTCAATGTGTATATCATATTAAACCATATTATATTTAAAGTATGTTAATCTTGTAATTGGTACATAGCCCTCTTAAGATGACTGCATGTTTGTTATCTACTTTTATATTTCTTATATCAGCTTTTTATCATTGATAGTAATATGGCTATTATGGATTGTTGAATTCTGTTGCTAATAGTTTTTCCCCATTTCTCCAATGTCTACTTATTATTCTTCATGGACTTTTCCTGCCGATTTTGCTAACTATGACTGTTTGGGCCTCATAAGGTACCTCCTGCCTTCGTCTACAATTGATTTAGTGGCTTACTATTGGCAATAACAACTGCGCAATGGGACATCACATAAAAGAACCAAAAGTGATGTCACAGTCCGCTAGTAGCCAGAAGTGAAATATCGAACATCGGAACAAGGGGAGAGAATGAGCTTATTAGATATAAACGCCTAGGATCTCACAGAGTCTCCAGCAATTGAAGAAGATCAGGAACAAGTCGAAATTCATGTGCGCTGGATCTCTATTATTTTGGGTTGTGTTGACAGTGCGGAGCTTATATTTATTGACACTTGTTATTTGCCACAGACAAAGTTATAATTTTTTCTAATTATGTTTTATATTTGTTTTTATCCTGTTCCATTCTTCATGTTCAAATACATATTCCTTACTTCTACATTTGGATTCCTGTGTCCTACTAAGAGATAGATTTCTCCAAGCCTACATAGGCAACCTGAGGCTTTCTAGACAGAGCCTTGTATAGATCTGGGTCATGTGAGCGTGATTCCATCCTTTACCTTGTACAATATGTAAATACTGTTTTACACTATGTGATCTTTGTATTTCTTCCAGATGTATTGTTTTATACTTGTGGTTCTACATTGAACATACATTTAGAATTGTAAGTATCGTTTATACACAATTTTACACTTGGTGTGTATATGCTGGTTCTCACTTTATTTTTATCATATGATTTTGTTGCTAACGTACATGAAGTGAAGTTGCTGAGCAATGCAATAGGCATTCATATCAAAAAGATTAAGATGTAAAAATACCCAGCAAAATAATAATTATTATAATGCTTTTCACATAGGATGATTGCAGAACTCTTCATGGAGGCTCCGAGGTGATTATTTCCCAAAGGATAAAATAATGCCTAGCATTTAATTTACATTAAATGGATGTAATTAATTCAACAAAAAAGATATTATATAAATACAGGTGAAATATTTTAGTGTTACACTTCCAAAGAAAACCTAAAACTTAAGAACGGTAACTGATAAGAAATGTGCATTTTTTCATTAAATTATAATTGTCACTGTAACGGATCACCTGGCACCCCGACTGGGTACCTCCGTTGAAAGATGCTCCTAGCGCTTCCAGAGGACTCCAAGCACTCTACCAGACACCATAAGCACCGCAGGCTGCAGCTATCTCCCTTCAGAACGAAGCAGGAACAAGCTCTTACAAGAGCTCAGTGATTATAGCAAGGGAATATGCCTAGCATAGCAATCCCTTGTAGCAGATTCCCCCAATAAGAGACAGGACTCAAGTTGAGGGTAAAAATAGAACTCTCTGGCTGCTAGCTTGCAGCCCTTTTTATTAGGTGCTCCCATGAAGGGGAGGGACACACACAGTAACGTACATTAACCAATCACACAATAGTTACATCCCACACATAGCCCTCCCCTCTACCTGTAAACTAATTATCTGTACACACAGGGAAATACAATTATCATAGGTAGGGAAAATACAGTTTTTACACAACATTCATAACTCCCAAAATATACATCACATTCGCATAAAAATACATATTCACAATCAATCCATTCAGGGGAACAACATATTAAAAAATGGCATGAATCAGACCAGGGGTTCAAAAGTTAGTAAAAGTATCTTTTGTTCCCCCTGGCTCAAACAGTAAAAGTAAAACATCCCCACAATGCATCCTGGCTTCCTCCCTTCTGCCCTGGAGATAATTGGAGAAGGAATCTAATTATCTCCAAAGACAGAGCCAAACTCCATTACCCACATGGCAGACAAAAAGACAGTAAAAGACATAAAATTACATACTGACACATTTAGTACATAAAACACACATTTCTACATATCCCCAGATAGCTTGGATCTGACTGCACATTATTAGATGAATGGCACTCAGATCACACGAATAAGCCTTTCTGAAGGGAAAATAAACAGTTTAACCTGCAGGGCCATAGTCCAAAGGCAAGAGGCGGGCAAGCAGCCCCCTCCAAGGACACGTGGCGAGGTCGGTTTTGCCACAGTCACCTTACTATTCAGTCTAAATTTTTACAGTTTAATGGATGGATGCAGGGCCATCTTTAATATAAGTTGGACCCTGGGCAAGTATTTGCTTGGCCCCCCTGGACCCTGCCCACCCCTCCACCACTCCCATTACCCAGTTCCCTGGCATGCAATCATGGCCTCCACCCCAATCTAGTGATGGAACTAATATAAAGAGGGCCTGTGGAAGACTTGTTGTGGGGACTCCCCTCTAGCGCAAGAGTGGAGAAAAGATAGATACCCATCAGTCGTACAATTCCCACGCTGCTATACCAGATGGGGATTTACCATTTGGCCATTCTTGTAGGGTTGTATTTGTGAGTAGTGTTTGTGAATTTTAATGTAAGTACAGGGAGTGCAGAATTATTAGGCAAATGAGTATTTTGACCACATCATCCTCTTTATGCATGTTGTCTTACTCCAAGCTGTATAGGCTCGAAAGCCTACTACCAATTAAGCATATTAGGTGATGTGCATCTGTAATGAGAAGGGGTGTGGTCTAATGACATCAACACCCTATATCAGGTGTGCATAATTATTAGGCAACTTCCTTTCCTTTGGCAAAATGGGTCAAAGAAGGACTTGACAGGCTCAGAAAAGTCAAAAATAGTGAGATATCTTGCAGAGGGATGCAGCACTCTTAAAATTGCAAAGCTTCTGAAGTGTGATCATCGAACAATCAAGCGTTTCATTCAAAATAGTCAACAGGGTCACAAGAAGCGTGTGGAAAAACCAAGGCGCAAAATAACTGCCCATGAACTGAGAAAAGTCAAGCGTGCAGCTGCCGCGATGCCACTTGCCACCAGTTTGGCCATATTTCAGAGCTGCAACATCACTGGAGTGCCCAAAAGCACAAGGTGTGCAATACTCAGAGACATGGCCAAGGTAAGAAAGGCTGAAAGACGACCACCATTGAACAAGACACACAAGCTGAAACGTCAAGACTGGGCCAAGAAATATCTCAAGACTGATTTTCCTAAGGTTTTATGGACTGATGAAATGAGAGTGAGTCTTGATGGGCCAGATGGATGGGCCCATGGCTGGATTGGTAAAGGGCAGAGAGCTCCAGTCCGACTCAGACGCCAGCAAGGTGGAGGTGGAGTACTGGTTTGAGCTGGTATCATCAAAGATGAGCTTGTGGGGCCTTTTCGGGTTGAGGATGGAGTCAAGCTCAACTCCCAGTCCTACTGCCAGTTCCTGGAAGACACCTTCTTCAAGCAGTGGTACAGGAAGAAGTCTGCATCCTTCAAGAAAACATGATTTTCATGCAGGACAATGCTCCATCACACGCGTCCAAGTACTCCACAGCGTGGCTGGCAAGAAAGGGTATAAAAGAAGAAAATCTAATGACATAGCCTCCTTGTTCACCTGATCTGAACCCATTGAGAACCTGTGGTCCATCATCAAATGTGAGATTTACAAGGAGGGAAAACAGTACACCTCTCTGAACAGTGTCTGGGAGGCTGTGGTTGCTGCTGCACGCAATGTTGAAGGTGAACAGATCAAAACACTGACAGAATCCATGGATGGCAGGCTTTTTGAGTGTCCTTGCAAAGAAAGGTGGCTATATTGGTCACTGATTTGTTTTTGTTTTGTTTTTTGAATGTCAGAAATGTATATTTGTGAATGTTGAGATGTTATATTGGTTTCACTGGTAATAATAAATAATTGAAATGGGTATATATTTGTTTTTTTTGTTAAGTTGCCTAATAATTATGCACAGTAATAGTCACCTGCACACACAGATATCCCCCTAACATAGCTAAAACTAAAAACAAACTAAAAACTACTTCCAAAATATTCAGCTTTGATATTAATGAGTTTTTTGGGTTCATTGAGAACATGGTTGTTGTTCAATAATAAAATTAATCCTCAAAAATACAACTTGCCTAATAATTCTGCACTCCCTGTATGATTTTGAATAGAGTATGTGTATGCACTGTCACCATTGGAATGCGGTGGTGTACTTGTGTATAGTGTTTGCGTTTGAATGCAGGGGTGTGTGTTTGTATGTAGTGATGGTTTTTAAATGCAGGTGTGCTTTTGTGTGTAGAGTTGGTGTTTGTATATAATTTTAGCGTTTTAATAAAGGCGTGTGTTTGTATTTAATGTTTGTAATTGCAGATGTACATTTGTGTGTAGTATTGGTGTGAGTGAAGGGCGTGTTTGTATATAATTTCGGAGTTTGAATTCAGGGGTGTGTTTGTATATAATGATTGTGTTTGCAGCGGTGTGTTTGATTGCCTGGATGTATGCACATACATACTAACACAGATATACATACACATTGACACACAGATACACACATAAACACACTGATACATGCACACATGCACACACCTTGATACACAGATACGCACACTAACACAAACACAATGGCATATACACACACACTAGCAGGGCCGTCTTTACCGCGGGGCAAACGGGGCAGCTGCCCCGGGCCCAGTTACTCTTAGGGGCCCGAAGCAGCTGCACCGTGGGCCCCGCTGACCTCAAGCATTTTTCCCAACTGCCAGTGCAGCCACGCACCCGGTGGGCTTCTGTCAGCTGGGGCCCGGTCTTGCACTCTGGCGCTTTAAGAGCGCGACCAGGCCCTCTTGCTTTTCGGCAGCCGGCTAGGAGGAAGTGACGGCTGCACGTCACTTCCTCCCATAGAGAGAGGAGCGCGCGGGAGGAGGAAGAGGCAGAGCGGTGGGGGTCTGGGCCGAGCTAGCCAGACCCCAACTCCCAGCAGCTTCAGCCACTGGTAGGAAAGTCACCCTCCAACGTAGAAAGGGTGGGTTTAATAGTGTAAATTTTGCATGTATATCTGTGAATGTGTCAGTATGTCTGTCAGTGTGTGTGTCAGTATGTCTGTCAGTATGTCTGTCAGTGCGTGTGTCAGTATGTCTGTCAGTGTGTGTGTCAGTATGTCTGTCAGTGCGTGTGTCAGTATGACTGTCAGTGCGTGTGTCAGTATGTCTGTGAGTGCGTGTGTCAGTATGACTGTCAGTGCGTGTGTCAGTATGTCTGTCATGCGTGTATCGTATGTCTGTCAGTGCGTGTGTCAGTATGTCTGTCAGTGTGTGTGTCAGTATGTCTGTCAGTGCGTGTGTGTGTCAGTATGTCTGTCAGTGCGTGTGTGTGTCAGTATGTCTGTCAGT